GGAAGACAACTGCTTTTATTGGCGACATTGTCAACTTTACCTATGTATTGTGATCCTTAAAATGCCTTTTAACTGGAGTTTCAGTCTGTAACACTGCTTTTTATGAGGCCCATGAATCAGGTTTGGTATTAAGGTGTGTCTACCAGCAACATACCATAACATTTCAAAGTGCAGCAAGATCAAATAACTACAACCACATCAGTTTTCCAACTAAGCGAAGAGATCAATATGATGTTTATCTTTATTTGGATGCATGTAGGCCTTTAATTACACATTAAACCCAATAGCTCATCCAGAACTCAAATAATGTTTCGTTCCTCCTAGAAAATTAAAATAATTCTGAAAGAAAGAGGGCTTAGAGGGGAACGCCAGTTCCAATTTCTCAGACCAGTTATTAGATCTTGGTAACAAAATAAATTACTGTACTTGATGTTATGGAATTTTTTTACAAATTTTGAATTTAGCACAAAATTGTGAACTTTGTGAAAGCACTGTAAGTCACCATGTTGGCGCAAACTCTCATTTGAGTTCCCATGAATTGAGACATGATGCAGCCCTTCCTGCTCACTAGTCACTGTAATGACTAATACAATGTGATGGACAAGTGAATAAGTACAGGTTGTGCAGTAGACATTTCACCACAGAAATGTTCCAACATCATTAACATGCAGAGTTAACAACTAAGTAGTGCTATTTGTTGGCAAAACCGTCTTGAAATCAAGATCGACATTTCTATCGGATTAAAAGAGATGTATTCACAAGCCTGCTTCTTCACAATGTAATAGGGCTGCATCATGTCACTGGACGTTTTGTTGCCTCGTTCTTAACCACAGAACATGGCGCTGCGCATACCTGGAATTTTAATCTATTTTGTGATATAAATTGGAGGTTGTATACGTTACTGGGTACATTTTACTTTTATTGTGGTTTGAAAAGCACTCATTGCTGCCGATTCTGTCTAATCCTGAAATATAAAAATAGCATTGCAGTTCCCCTTCAACACTGTCATTTCTACAGTACATTGGAAACCTCACAAGTCTCAATCTACTGAGCATAGCGGTTGGGAGTTGAGTAGGTTGGGTGTGAGCAATGTGCATAAAAAGCAATGTAAGCTGGAATCAATGACAGCAGGGGATCAGCACAATCAGCAAGTCCAAGAGCAAAGTTCAGTGACTGTTCAAATGGAAAAAAAATATTCCTGTTAAAAAGTGATGTTTCACACTTCGGCGAGAGGCGTAATGGTGCAAATTATACACACTCATAAAAAGTCTAAGTGAAGTATTTCCAACAATCTTTAAAATGGCCCCCTCTCTCCACCACATTATCAGGTGGTCTTCCTGCCTCCACGTCTAAACCAAGCCAGGTTGACCATATATCCAAGCACTGCTAGGAGATCACAGCAACCAAGCGTGGATCACACTACGGCAGAACAAATTTAGCACGTGCCCCTGAAAGACTTCGTCCTTCATAAGAAAGAACTTTGTCGGCAATAAGCTTTTCAAAATAAGCAGAAAAGACGTTTACATACACTGGACATTAGAACAACGTATTTCTGACAAAGAGGAAAGGAATTAGCTCCACCAAGTACGAGAATACCTCTCTGGTCTTTGTTATACATTAGAAATGTCTTCCCAGTGATCAATGTCAAATAGAAACGACCTGAAACAGTACAGAAAAGTGTTCCAGATATTGTGTATTTGTCTGGGGTACCTGTCAACTGTTGTACCCCTAAACCCAACAGCTTGGCTACACTTGGCACTGATGAAAGCACGTAGAAGAGGATCTAGCCAGTACTAGAGGGAGCACCTGTTCACCTGTTCACATCAGACTTGTGTACACCAGAGCTACATTTGGGTTAAGGTGAGCTATAAAAAGGGGATTCCAGATCAAACACAAATTAAAAGACAACTCCCGCACAGGATTTAAAGAACAAATAGATAAGAATCCCACAGCAACATTTCTAAAAAAGAATTGGTAGGCAGTGACTATTTTGGACTCTCTCTCCTCTAGTCATATGATCCACCTTAAATGTTAGAGGAAAGACTTGACATGCATTTTTCTTTCAAGGAGATTTCAACAGCCACTGTTGCACACACAGCACTCCCCTGCCTATTGCCAGCTTGCCAAACACTCCCTATACCAGCAGCTGCTTGCTCACTCAGCTTCCTGAGCTTTTGATTCGACAAGGCCAGCTCGGTTCGTACCCTGGAAATAATACAGCTCGCCACAAAATAAAAAAACAAACAAACAATCCTTTGCAGAATGAAAAACGTGTCCCGTCCAGAGCCTAAATTCCACGCACACCCATGTGAAGTTTGTTCATCTGCTGATGTGAGGCAACAGTATAAACAGAGGAGAGACACATACAGCGAAATATCAGCCAATGCGTCCTCCTGTCTGCAGAATTCAATGCAGGCACAATGGTGTCAGCAGTAGGCTGAGAGGAGAAGAATCAAACCAAGTATTTCTGCATGCTCTCTAGGCAATGCAGTAACTGTAGCTGCTACAAATTGTACTTTGTTTAAAACTTTACCTTTAGGGGGAAAAGGATATAAGTGACAGACAAGGATTTTAGTAAGTCATAACATACAAATACAGTGCCCATCAGGCAGTGCCTTAGCTATCATTCAGGTTTGTGTTAAAAACAAAATCTGTTCCACATTTGACGTGTACAAAGAATCTGCTTCCTGACATGCGGTAAGGAGTCAGATTTGAGCTTTCTACTGTTGCAGGAACAGAGAACATACTGCCATGCGCACAATACTTTGCAACGACAAAAAGAGAAGCCAGGAGAAGATTAAGAATGGGGATTTTTCTCTCCTCGCACAGCTAGTTCTTTTCAATTACTTTTACAATGTTTGGAAATGTAATACAAATGGGCTTCCCCTCAGAAAAACCCAGCTGAATTCCCATAGGCTTCTCACAGTACCCAATGCAACTCTAGAAACGTTCTCAAACAGCAAAACACCGAACTCGGAAACAAATGTCATTCGAGATGATGGAGTTACGAATTCCTGTATACCATGTCATATGATCGTTCCACAGATCTTGGTTTGTCTCGGACAGCAGGCTCGTAATTGCACACTTTATAAGGTTGTGTGTAACAAATACTACAGTATTAAATACATTTAACACCATTATTTTTTTTTACTATTCTATATCATTAAGTATTTCATAAAACAGTCACGCGAGTCTTAAGTTACTTACTGTTTACTATTTACTTTATGAAGATAACTCTGTATCTTTTAAACCAGTTTTAAAAGACTGCAACCTTCCTTCCTTACACCGAGGGAATAGACCCCTATAATTAACCTTTTGCTTTACATAGTTTTGCTTTAAAAAAAAATAAGAAAAAAGGAAAATGAACGTACCTTGTAGTTTCATCGTTTTCATTCCCTGCCTGCATGTGACTGGACCTCTTCTTGTATATATCACCAGGCAAAGAATGGAACAAGCTCAGTCTCAGGGCTCACCAAATGAGCTAAGGCATCCAGTGTTTAAATCCTGTTTTTTCTGTATGGTAACGACAGTTGTAAAAGACTCTGAAATGCTTCCCTGCTTAACGTCGCCAATTTTAAGAGTTCTTGTTCCTTAGCATGAAATAAGAAAACCTACTACCGAATCAGACATCGTTCTTTTGCATTTTAATAAGGAGAGCTTTTGTTTCACGCTTAGCTTCATTTCAATCTGAGACCCGTGTCGGCTCGGGAAAGCGCCGCCCATATACAGTGATTCTTGCTAGGAAAGGATCAATGTGATATCTGGCATATCATGTTACTCTTCAGCGCTGAGGAAGCGACGCAAACATTTCTCTGGTTAATTTCTATCGAATGGGACAGAGAGAGAGAGGGCAGCAGAAATCCAAGAACGTCACGTCATCTTTGCAAAAACGAATGACATGTTTTATTTCAAAATATATTCATTCAGTGCAACTTCTTAAAACTTTTCAACTTTTTGACTTGTGTAATAAAAACCCGTGCAATAACGAGATGGATATGGGTAAACATTCAAATCGTAGTAATAAACCAGCGTTAAGTGGTTACTAACCCGACAGCCTACTTGTAGTATTAACAAATCTGCCCGAGAGCTCAAACACGTCCCCACCCAGATTTATCCTGTTATTGAAGACTTACTGAAGATTTCAGACCGCGGGACCCACGAACTTGACGTAATTTGCCAGCTTAAAAATGCTTTAATGTCCAAAAATTAAAATGAATGAAATGAATGCCATATGACGGATTTAATTGGAGCTTGGCCATTCATTTTATATTTACCCACATTGTACTGCCAAAGTAGTTTGGACAAACCTAACCTGCAGTATCGTTCTACAAGCCATGATGTCTACTCATTGTAGTGCAGGTGTATTTCATTCTGTATATTGCCTTTCAAAACCGAAGACAGTGCTTTAAACATCCGTACCCTCACTGCCATCCACTGGACGCAAAAGGTAATACATTTGCTACCTACGAACCACAGAAACACGTTATTACCTGCGGCTCATATTTTTTCGAAGCGTTATTGATGGTACTGTCGAGTATTACGCGGTCGTGCGTAATTTTCTTATTATTCTGAATCGCGCAATTTGTGGGTTTCCCAAACAACCAAGAAACCACGATCAACATATTAGATTAAGTTTTTTGTAGATTTAAAGACATAAGTTCAAAGTGTTTCTTACCTTTCCATCTGAGGCTTTTTTTGTGTAAAAACGCCTTTTGCAGGATATATTTAATTTAGGCCTCATTATTCCATGAACAAATGCTCATACTTTTATAAAAGCTCATATCTGGATGTTAAAACAAACAGAACTCACATACTGGGCCTTGCATTCAAAGCACTTAGTTTTGAATACAAGCCCCAATGATTTCTAGAAACACTCATATTTAAAAATAAATGCAACACTCCACAACAAAAGTAAATCGGCTCCCATCAATGACACCATACGACACTTCAGCAGCAGAGCAGAGTAATTCAAAGAGGAAACCCCTTAGGACTCATTTTGTGACATCCAAATTTTATTTGATGTTTTCTTCCTACATTAGGGTACTATAAAACAGTACAAAGTTTGTGTATAATGTAGAAATACCTCCTCTATTTTCTAAACTATTAAAAACCACAAGAATAGAACAAAGTTTTCAAAATACAAAAAATATACAGATGTGGACCATTTTAAACATACAAACAAGTGGCTCTTATTTTCTTCCCTTTTTCCTTTCTCATGGTCTAATGACAGCAGCCATCTGATCTAATATTTAGGTCTATGGATTTGGTTCAGACTAAGGCATTTAAGTGAAGATGTTTTTTTTTGTTCATTCAAAACCATAAAATTATAAAAAAAAACAGCTTTCTGTTTTTTTTTACTTCACAATACAATTTTTCAAAACATATTTGAAAGCACAGACATGTTTGTTTGTGATTCGTTTCAGAGTAGTTTCACGTTACAACACTCAAGTGCATTTATCAAGTGTACTAAATCAGAGATATCCTGAGAATAATTCACCACGAGCTATGAGCAAACCTCAATGAGGGGAGCTGTTCAAAATCGAATTCACTTCCCTTTAACAGAATAATACAGAAGTGAGGAAACAGATTTCACTTTTCAAAGTTTGACCAATATAAACTAATATAATTTAAAAAAACAGGATCAAAATATCAAATACAACGTTGACAAACATACAAACCAGCTTGTGATTTCTGAAATAGCTCAAACTATGTGATGGACATTTTATATAACTATTACAAATAGAAACAAGCATTTCCAGAAGTAGGCATTACAGTTGGAAACAGTTTTAAAGCCAATGACAAAATGATACCAGACTTCATCATCTTTACAGTCTTACCATTTTGCGCAACTACAGATATTCATATTAAAAGGGCTCTACTCACAATATCTGTTTTAGTGTACTTAATAAATGCAAAGATATAAATGTGGAGTACCAGCATTTCTGATGCCCTATCTCTGTAATCAAATAGACGTACAACTTGCTGTGCTTCATTAAGTCTCTATTTAAAGCAATGCCTTAAAACTAAATTAAATGGTAACATTGCTCCTACAATACGTATGTGCATTTTTTTAGAGGATTGATTTAAAAACACAATAAATAAGAATTAAACATTCACATACACAAACTCAAAAAAGGTAAGGACTTTAATAACTACCACTAGCTCATGGTATTGTCTTGCAGTATTCAAATTCAGCACTTCTGAAAGTGAAGAGAAACATGGAAGCACATTTAAAAATGGAAGATATGGTTTTCAGTGGCAACCAACCAACAATCTGAAACTGTCTGCAAGTGATTTATGCTACTCCTACAAAACACGTATTTGACCTCTAACACTTAAAAAGACTGAGCTGCACAAATGTGCAACAACTTTGGTCACTTAGCACTCAGCTATTCACCTTCCAGCAGATCGTAGAGGCTACTTGTGAAAGATCCTCCTGAGTTTCTAGGATTCGAGCCAAGTCTTCAGGAACAGTAAAAGGCAGAGCCACATTGGATAGATGTGGATAAGGCCAAAATTCCGCCATTTCCGCCAGTTAGTTAATTGAAGGGACAGATTCCTGTGACACGTATTGCTCAAGACAAGACCGCCCTTTCCAGGATGCATCTGCGTGCGAAACAAATGGCAAAACTGGAACAGAAACAGTCAGAATGGAGCTTGAAGCACAATAGCAACCACAAAAATGGCACGGATGAGGACTTGATCCCCGGCTGCGGGGTGTCTGAAGGCTTCCATTAGGACAGAAAGGTCCAAGGGAGTAGAATTTCAACGTTCAAATCGGGAGGCGTCATGAAACTCTCGCTGCTTGGGAAGAACAATTTTAAATGGCCCACTGGAATGGGCAATCTTCCGAACCGTGGAAGTCTGCCTTTGAATATGCTTCTGTTTACCACAGCAGAGCACGATGGTGTTTTAGCAGGAGACCAAGACAAGTGGGGTATCCAATGACAACTCAGAGCTGGGGATACGGCGCACAGAACTGTGCAATGCAGGGACCTCTGGGTTCCCTATGGGAAATGAACTGTATTAATCTGCAGGAAGGCAAGGCAGTAAAGTGGCAATGCAAGTCCAGACAGTAGACCCTATAATGACTCCACAGGCATCAGTCCATCACTCTGTAGGTGGCTGTGGTGGAGCTCTGCTTTACAGATGGTGGGCACAGAACTGAGGAAGGAGGTCATGGTTGGGGGCTCCTCATCTCCTACAAGCACAGAAAGGAGCGTCTGTTATTGTTGTGCTCACAGGGCAGGAATACAGAGCCTTTCACCTCATGAAACTCTAAATTAAGCTTCAGCAAACAGTTTCTCAATGCCATTCAGTAAGGAACACCTTAAGCATTTTAAAAATTCCAAGTCTAATCTTGGTTTCTCAATGTTTGTTTGTTCTTACTGGCAAAAATAACAAGGCCTTCTGTGACAAATTAAGCAGTCTTGACATAGAAACAATGTGCATGCCACACAACACTAAACACACAAAGCATCATGCACAACCCAACACAAATGCTCATACTGACTCCCAATTAACATATTAAGTTCCTTAAAAAGCTGTGAGAAACTGAAAAATCCTGCTTGTTTGGTGGGAACGAGCTAAACATGAATATTAGGAAGTTTGCAATGAAATGTTTCAATGTAAAAAAGAAAATTAAAACTTAAGAAAAGTTTTTTTTTTCACATGATTAAGATGCTGTCAGTGTTTCAGAGACATTTACACTAGGTGAGGGAAATTCTCACTTCTTCTCTATTTACAGTTTCTAAATCCCACCCCTGGAGGCTAATAATCCTTGATTTTTCCAAGGTCTGAAAAATATTTGCAAAACAAAGTTTTTTTATCTCTGCACTGGGAGCTCTAAGACGGTAGCTCTCGGTGTTGATTTTGTTCCCAGAAAACATTTTTTAATACAAAGTTGATTTTGTAAAGATTGACAAAGGTTTAGGTGATAGTTGTTTCTCAAAATATAGAAGACAAAGGGTCACAGTGTGCCCCTAGAACTGGATAAGGGGACAGAGTACCAGCCATGTCACCCTACAACTCACAACTGGCAGCCCACTGAAGCTCAGCAGGTGTGAGCCTGGTCAGTACCTGGATGGGAGACCTCCAGGGTAAAACTAAGGTTGCTGCTAGAAGAGGTGTTAGTGGGGCCAGCAGGGGGTGCTCACACCCACATCTACGTGGGTCCTAATGCCCCAGTATAGTGATGGGGACGCTATATTGTAAAAAAAGAAGGTGCTGCCCTTTGGATGAGGTCCTGACTCTCTTGGTCATTAAAAATCCCAGGGTGTTTCTTGAAAAGAGTAGGGGTGTAACCCTGGCGTCCTGGCCAAATTTCCCATTGGCCTTTAGCAATCATGGCCTCCTAATAATCCCCATCTGTGAATTGGCTTCATTACTCTGTTCTCCTCCCCCAAAGAGGCTGAAATTGTCAACAACAGGCTATGGCTGCTGTTGGATCACCCAGGTGGGGCTACACACTGGTGGTGGTGGAGGGGAGTCCCCATTACCTGTAAAGAGCTATATAAGTGTAAGCAATTATTATTACTGTATTACATTATTACTGTACACAATGAGGAGGCTCACCGAGGCCAGACGAGGAGGACACACTCTCTGCCAGGGAGGAGGTGTCGGCCTGGTCAGGGGAGAGCCCATCCATCAGGGGGATGGACAGCTCTGAGGAGGGCACAGAGGAGTCATAGATGCCAGAGTCTCTGGGCATTTCAGGGGGGCTAGCCGAGCCGTCTGTGTGGAGCAGCGGCTGTAAAGAAGCACTGCTCTCCTGGGTCGCCGCCCCGTCCGTCTCTCCCCGTGCGGCGCTGGGCTGAGCAGAGGGAGGAGGTCCAGAGTTCAGGGCGGGGGGCAGAAACCCAGGGCTTCTCAGGGGGCAGTCGCTGTCCGAGGGCTGCTTGAGGACCACCTCGTTGAGCACCAGCCCCGAGTCGAATTTCTCCATGGCGGGGGGGCACTGGAAGGGGGCCGGGGCCGGGGGAGGGGCCGGCCGGAGTGTCTTCTCGAACCAGTCGGGCTCCTGGGCCACGTACTGGTGCATGTTGCAGATGGCCACGTACAGCGAGCGGCCCGACTTGCTGCGGAAGTAGTTGCGCTTGCTGACGTTGAGGGGCTGGGGCTCGCGCTCCGGCAGGCTGAGGTGGCGGGAGTGCAGCCGCGCGTACAGCTGGGGCAGCTGGTCCATCAGCTTGAACTTGGGGGCCAGGTCCAGCACCCCCGGCACGTCGCTCTCGCGGGAGTAGTCGAAGTACACGGCCATGAAGCGGGAGAGGTCGCGGGAGCTCTGCCAGGCCTGGCGTAACCTCTCCGCGATCATGGCCACGGCCACCACGAACAGCTCCCCCGCTCCGCCCGCGCCGCTGGCCCTGCCCTTCCCCTTCCGGTTCTTCTTCTCCACGAAGTACTTCATCCCCTTGGAGCAGACGGCCACGATGAGGTGCGCCTCGTCGATCTGCCGGCTCAGCCAGGCCATCTGGCCTTCCTTACAGATCTCCAAGTGCTCCCACAGGTCCAGAGCCACCTGCAACACACACAGCCGAAACTGCAGGGTGGTAAGGGCTCTCAGCGGGGTGGATTTTCGTTAGTTTTAGACTGGCTCGACACGGGAGAATGTCTCCCTTTGTTTTAAAAGAAAAGAAAGAAAAATGTTGACAATTTCAGCTCGGTAATGGCGCTCCAAATCCCTGTAACTCAAAGTCAATGTCATTTAAGAGGATACTGTTGTCTAATCTTTTAATGATACATTATTTATTTTAAGAAAACGTGTTATCTTTGTGTAGGTCTTAACCGTTAGGTGATCACTGGCGACGGTAATAACTTGCAATTCATGATTCTACCAGCAGATGTCGGCATAAGCATTAATTTTAAACTGTTGCCGATACCGCAGTACTGCTAGCGCAGAACCAACGTTTTTGTCCAACTTATCCCACCGTTACCTCACAGCCACAGAAGTCCTGCAGGAAGTAGGCAAAACTCTGGATGACGGTGAGGTGTTTGGGGCAGTCCTTGCTGGAGTAGCAGAGGAAGACTTTGGGTCGCGGCCAGGGCTTCTCAGCATGTAAGGCTGTAGTGTTGGCTGACGTTTCTGAGCTTTCTTCATCAAGGTGGGAATATATATTCTCTGGAAAGTAAAAATATTATTTTGTGCTTCAAGTAAAAATAGACACTTTTCCCCCTAAGTTCTCACCTCAGGTCTCACCACTGTGCCTTGTAAACTTTGAATTCTGAAGACCTGCTGAAACCTGGGAAAAGGTTTAGCAAGCAGAATTAAAAAAAACAAAATGGGAAGTCTCCCATTTTCAAACCTATCTGTATACGTTACTTAGGAATCCAACAAACCCGAAAGATAATTTTTCTTCAAAATAGGACGATTTCAAGAACAGCAGCAGTTTTAATATTCCCAAACCTAATGAGCAGCCATGATAAAGACGCGTAAATAATAAACCATGATTAGCGATCTAGAAAAGATAAGAAGCCATGACCTGGTGTATATCAGCATCTGATCAGTGAAGATTTAATTAGGGGAGCCAGCTAGTCAACACGCTGACACAGACACTCAGGACTGAGGCAGAGGTCAGACAAGTGAAAGGCAGCCTCTGAAACTTCGGTTACTCTTTGAAGGACGTGCTTCATTAGAGACCCATCCAGACAGAGGGAAGAAATAACAAACTGCTGTGTCTCACCCTGTTGTTTCTTGCGACACATGACCGTGAAGAGTGTGGCGAAGGCTGACATGATGACCAGTGGCACTGTGATGGCCACAGCTCTGATTGGCCCAGCCCAGGGTGAGTGCACTAAGAAAGCAGACAGAAAAACAACTCAGGCGCCAGTTCTTTGTTTGTTGGGCCACCTAACTCACACCACGGTAGCACCTTTTGTTAAAGTTCTGATTCAAAAGCTCCAAACAATGAAGTTCCAAATGTTCCAGCAGTCCCACCCTGAAATGCAACAGTATCCGCTAGAGCTCAAGAATTCCCTGTCCTGAAGTAACATGGCTTTTATGAAATGTCGCTGTATTTTGCTAGAGTAAAAAGAACAGCACTCCAGCTGTGACAAGTGTGGTAGCGTCGTGGGAAATCCTTCATCAGAGGAAGAGGAAACAGTCTTGTACAGATTCAGTTTTATTGAGCTCAATAAGAACAGCCCTGTAAGGTGTATATACAACCCTTATATACAGTATGGCCTGTGAAAGAGGTTTTGTTTCACAGTTTTATGGTTTGTCATGGATATTTGTCCTTTCCTTTAATATGTAGCGTAAATGTATTTTGTTTTGTCCTGTTCTAAGTCCTGCCCTTTGACATTGACCTGCTTTATCCTGTTTATGATATTTTTTTGGGTGTGGGTCCTGTCTTTTGTTATGTAGCATAAGTTGCTGGAGGTGCTAAAGCAAGTCATATTTGTTTTATCTTTATCTGAAGGCTAAATTAGTGCTAAATTAAGAGATACCAGCAATACAGTATTACTGCTGAAACGCACTGTGGAAGGTATGCTGGATATGTGCAATATTTACATGTCCCACTTCAGTACGATGTTTAATATTGACATTGTGGAATGGACTTTCAGCCATTACACAGGCAGACAACAGTTAAGGGTTGATTTGTCAGACATCCACAAGTCCAAGTTAAGGGTTTTCATCAACATTCGTGTAAAGGGCATTTCCAGCAGGTCCTTACCTTGATTTACATGATATTGTGTTGCTCTTCTGGTGCTGTTGTTGTTATCTGCAAGCTTGGAGACAAAAAAAAAAAAGATCAATGAGTCTGCAGTGCTCTGTTTAAATTTCTCCAGCCCCATCTGAAATGCTCACATCTATCTTTGCAGAACTGTGCCTCTTGCACGTGAAGGGAGTTCAGTGATGTCAAATCCTATTCCAAAACCTTTTACACCCAGCACAGGTGAGCCATATCTCAGATCACACTCACCCACATTCACACTAAACAGCACACTCGAATACTGCACCCATGAAATGCCGCTTTCACAAAGAAGTGAATTTTGTCAACAAAGAAACACACACACCCCTAATTCAGATCTGGAATGTGTAGCGGTATTAGAAATTAGAAACAAAATATTTAAAGATAGGAATACTGCATAACCCACCAAAGTATGACGCTTGAAGGGTGACAATATCTAGGAATGTTGCTAACAACTTTCTGTACCATCTCAGTCTAACAATCGCTGCCCTGTCACAAGATCCAAGATGTTTTGTCCACCTTAATCCAGGCAGCAGAAATGACCGTATCAGAACAAAAAACACAAAATGTCTATCTAACTCAGAATGTAGTCACTCGCCTATTCTTATTCATGTTCACAGAGAATACGTTCAAAACCCGGTAAGAGACATTTTCGGGGTACGTTTACATCTTTTAAAATTGAGAAGCTAAATATCTACTCTGCTATCCTCACACTACAAGATATACAGCAACGATGATATATTTTGTGTATCTTACATAAATAACTCTTTATAGTTTTCAAACACAGTAACCAAGCTTTTAAACATGGCTCAGAAGGATTAATGCCTGTCAATCACTGAAAATGAGCATAACAGCTCTAAAATCTTGAGCAATTGTGAATTAGCTATGCGGTATTATGACTGAAGAACTACAAGGCAGATTTGAGTTTGAACATGAGAAACACATTTTTAATAAGATTAGAAACTGATGGATAGATTGAAATTTGGCATCAACATCAATCTTAATTCACATTTTGCATTTCCAGTGCAGTAAATGTAAGGACTGTGCAACACTCTGCCGTCCTTACCTCGATGGTGTAAGTGCCAGGTGTCATGTCTTGGAGAACACATGTTGTTTTGTCAGAGCTGGAATCCTGCAGGATAAAGAGGATTTAACACATTTGCCAGGATATAAAAACCTTTTTATGGCCTCCTGTTTTTAGATACATGAAACCGGTTTTTAGGCGCCTGCATGTTCATTTTACATTTGAGATTTCAATGTTCTCATTTCTCTCAAAATGGTTTCCGAACTGTTCGGAATAAAAAAAAAAACAGTGTTTCTCAAGTTACAATATATTCCGAATTTAACAACTAGAATAATAACTAGGTCTCACAAAAGTGACCACATCACTCCTGTCTTTGGATCCTTGCACTGGCTTCCCGTCAGGTTTTGGGTTGATTCTACCATGCATCTGCTTACATATGTGACATGGCTCCTCAGCCAATACAGACTCTGAGTACCAGACCTTTGCTCTGCTGATTCTGGATTAATGTGCGTTTCCACTGTTCACCTACACTCTGACAGGGTGACAGGGCCTGATTTTCAGACAGACTGGGTACTCGTAAGTTAAGGCTAAAAAAACATGTCTCTGCATCTAGTTTTCTGGGCATGGTTATTTTATTGAATTTGAATTTTATTGAATTGACTTGTGCAATGTGCTATATACTGTAAAACACTTTGAGATGGCTTTTTAAATGGATATACAGTATATATAATAAAAGTGTTTTATTAATAAATGCGAGGTTTTTCCCATTGTTTTCATTGGGAATGACAATTACAATGTCCATTATTGTAGTGCACACTCTGTGAAATAGCAAACGCTACTTTAATATTCATTCCCATAATTCACAGTGACTGCATTTTCTGAATGCACACTATATACCCGATTGGTATTCTTTCTAATATTTATATGAATATTTAAATTACATAATGTCTTATTTTATAAGAATAAAAAATATCGAAAGATCACTTCACTTCATCTCCACAGTCTAGAATACCATTCATACCTGAGCATTAATCCGCATATATTGTAAGAGTCTGAAACCCACGTTTAAATTTCTACAAGTATACCTCCCATCACTCAAATGACACCAACGAACATGCCTGTGCCCTTACCGGTCTGCAGCGCTTCTGTCTGAAGGTGCCCTCCTGTTTCAGCTTGTAGTAGATGTAGTAGAAACTGAAGCCAAATGTTGAGGGAGCATGATCAAACACCACATTGAGACTGGAGCCTTGCTGGGATATATTGAGGCTCTTCGGCTTCCAGACTGTCCACAAGGCACAGAGAGCACAAGAATTACTTGCCAGTAAGGCTCACAAAAGAAAAAAAACTCATATAATGTCTTGGGTCAATAACAGGATGCTTATCTGCTGCTTTCTTCTCGTTGCAGATGGTACAGTGTTTTCTCCTTCATACACTAGCAAGATTCTGTTACTGTCCGTAATCTCAGTGAAGCCACACTTCTGTGATAAGATAAGGCTGATCTGACACTCATTCAATACAAGTTTCTGTCCCTTTCTACAGCTCTTCAAAATCAAATGGCAACGATCACCTGAGTTATTAATTATAACTGGGTTTCGGACAGGAATTGCCAGTGTAATTCTTTAGGTAAGGTAGTCTTTCTTCCTGTCTCTTAGAAAGAAAAAATACATTAACAATCTCTAGGTCATCATAATACTGCATTTCACCACCCACCACACATTAGTACATGTTAGTACAATAGTAAAGGAGACAGGTTTGCTGGTATGAAGCCTGGAATTAATGGTGAACTGCTCTATCTAATGGTGTTTAACAGTAATGACAGCACAACACACACGGTCCATTTAAAGCTACAGTGAAGGATGTATATAAGGAACAGCGTACATATTTGTGGAACCTGTAATATTGACTCACATGGTTTGCAGATAAGATTGTCTGAGCCAAGAAGAGCTTCACAAGCTGTTAAAACACAACAGGGGACACAATTGAAGGACAACTGCAAAACATCTAAAAAGGTGCATCTCCAACATTCCCTAGAACTGCTGTTTAAGTTACAGAAAAGACTCATTTGAAGCTTTGTAGCTTTAAAATTCACTGATCTAAGACTAGAATGCACTGCTCAACAACACTCTCTGAGAGACACGTCCACAGCAGATCAGCAATGCTCGGTACACTGTTATTCTCCCCAGTGTCTGTTCATCACAAATGAATCAGCTATTGACAGCTGGTTAGTCAGATACAAGGGTAAGTAACGTGAGGACAGGCTGCTTGTGGCTCTGTTCAGCAGCTGAATTTGTGGGAAACAGCAGTCCTACCCTTCGGTGACATTTCTGAAACTCAGGACTGAGTGCAAAAGCACGTCAACCAAAATAAGCCAAGCAAACCAAATAAAAGGCATCAATTAGCGCTGGGGACATGGAGTGGAACTGGAACACCTGTATCCCAGCAGAGACAGCAAGCCTGCAGGAATAGGGTCCAGAACCACTACTCTAGAGTGTACATGGGCTAAAATAATTGTCAGTTCTATAAGAATAAGACTGGAATTGGTTTTACGTCTCATCTAAAGGACGGCACCTTTATTACAGTGTACTCTATACTGGGGCATTAGGACCCACGCAGAGCATAAGTTGTGCGCTCTGTACTGATCCACTAACACCTTTTCTAGCAGCAACCCTATTTTTTCCCCAAGAATCTCCCATCCAGGTACCGACCAGGCTCACACCTGATTAGCTTCAGTGGGTTGCCAGTTGTGGGCCGCAGGGTAATACAGCTGTGCATAAAAAACAAAAACTACGCCTTGACTGAGTAAAAGCCAGACGCAGGGATCACTTACTGTTTGTTCGCAAGAAGGATGGGGAGAAGCTGCTTTCGTTCACGAAAGACGGGAACGGCACAATCCTTATCATGTAGTCCGTTTCAAAGCTCAAGCCAGGAAAGGGCTGGGAACTCATTTTCTACGAGGAAACAATTGTAATTACAGAGTGCGGCGTGATACAGCACAAGGATCTCTTTTTTTTTCTCTGAAGAGATGAGAAGCAATGCCCAGGAAAAAAAAGTGATCATTCACACATTAATTTATATAACAGGGAAAATAAAATAAGAGCAAAGCATTTAATGATGAAGTGAAAAACTCAGATAACACAATACTGTTAATGTTCATTTGTATTCTTCAGCTGTATAAAGAGATTAAAAAGAGACCTGGAGCCGGGAAGCCAGCCACGCAAAACGATTTCTAATCATTCAGGAAAGACACTTCAGCTTCTCCTCGTGCCTAGATTTCAGATCAATATTAGTCTGTAAAATCCTTGAGGTTAAGTTGGAAAACTCTCTTTTAAAAGCAAATATAGCGTGAAACCCAAACTGATATCATTACCCTTCAGGCCACATGAATATGTGTACACACAAAAATGGGTGAATATTCTACTCAACGACCAAAGTTAAAGTTATAATAAAACAAATTGTCCCATTGAGGATATTGAGACAACAGCTTTGTTATATTTCAGCCTATATGAGATTCAAATTTTGTTTTCCAGGTTTTTATTTTAGACATTTCACATGGAGTCCTCAGAAGAAATAAAAACTAAAATTGAAAGGTGTTGAGAAAAACTGGTCTTGATACAGTTTAATATACTAACTTGGGCAGGTGGCTTTGAAACGACTTACCACATTCCTGAATGAAAAATTGAGCTGTCGGGGATCCTTTAAAATCATGTGCTGACATTGCTTCCCTTCCGGGTTTTTGTCTTCCAGATATACTCTAAATCCCTTCACATGTTCAATCCCTGAAGAGAAAAAAACAAAACATAAGCAGTTGAGATCATTTCTGATCAGTGACATCAGAACAAAAGGTAAGAGCAGTTTGGGGGGGGTTGAAGGCTGTCTGTCTTTCTTTCTCTAACATTCACTTTCGAGAATAACAATTCTGGCTGCTTTCCACACATCATTTCTGTTATTCTGTGTAGGATTTCTGCTTTTAAAGTGTATTAGGCATCTAGCAGAAATTCTGCCATAGCAACAACCAGGCCCTTTCCAGACTTTCCAGAATGGTCCCCGGCATTGAGACTAAAATCCTATTTGCCAAGCCACTGTAGAATTTCTGATAATCCTTAATATGCTAAAGGGGTTAACAATGCTTCTGGGTGTGGGTAAAATCAGAAAAAAATATCTCTGTTCTCGTCCCTTTTCATATTGATTTTATTATTCTATTATTAGGAACAAATCTTCGAGCACTGCAAGAATGCATTATTTAAGATAGACAGATATGACATTAAAGCCTGCTTGAGACTGTGTGAACGAGCATCACATTCTGTTGAAACTTAGGCAAATCAGAACTGAACTGGTTGTTCAGTTTGCTTGGCACTGAATGGCAGGTTTAGTATTCTGAAGCTTTATAAAAGAATTTGCCCAACTACCAGTAATTATGTACCTCATATATGCTGCAAATGTCGACATTAAGAAGAAACGTTCATTGTATTAAAATACATTTTAAAATTGAAATGGAAAAGAAAGGTCATTTAAAAACAAGGTAGTTTGAACTTTTTCAAAGTTTCAAATGCATTTACCACGTCACACCCATTTCCCCCTTTATAATTCCAACACTGTATTTGCCTCATCTCTTTATACCCCTGATGCTTTCATGTAGAGCTAAAGCTTTCCTATTTCATTGCAAACACGGTGCCTTGGCCAGCGAGATGGTTTGTTTCATACAGAGGGATCACACATACACGTGTGCGTGCAAAGGTGCTGAAACAGGCTGTCATCATCCACCCTCAGTACCCCTGCAGAAGGCCTGCAATCGGACCTGCGTGCCAAGAGCATACTAGCTTGCCCTTTAGAATGCTCCAGCACCACCCTTTTAATTACATTTCTCTCTTATCGGTAGCAGGGAAGACATTCCAGCTGGTTCCTGTTACAGGAGGAGAGCCAGGAGCAGAAGAGCCTCTTCTTTGTGGCAGGTGGAAGGGGCACACCTCACCCCTAACCCCCCTCCTCCTCCCTCTGCAGCAGATCCTATCCACCTACCCCATGAGGGACTCCAAAGGCAGAAGCCGCCAGACTGGTTCTCAGTGTTGGCGTGACCCCAGTTCTCCACTGGCACTCGTGTGGAAACAGCCCGGGCCTGCCTCTCACCTGAGCTCTGTTCAGTCCTGTCCTAATCAAAAGGATTAACCCTCTTGCAGAAAACAACAGGGCGCTTTGTCCCCAGACTCACACAAGGCCTCAGATTACCAAGTTCAATAGTAGCTTCCACGATACAGAAGCCAGGGATATCTCTTTTTCACATTCCTTCAGTAACATAACAGAACGGGATATTTGGGAGCTTTGTCTATGCCGGATCAGCACGGCTGTCAGGCAGAAGGATTTCCACAACAAGGGGGCAGGAGGCAGCTCGAGGCTTTGATCAGGTCGGGCCAAGTAAAGTCTTTGAAGATTTGTGGGGCTCTTTTTTCTTCCTCTTGTTCTCCCACTTCTCTTTTCAACAATCTCACGTAAATGTCTGTGAGATGCAACACAACATACATGCGCAGTTCAGGATCAAAATGAAGGCATGCTTTTGAGGTCTATTTCATTGCAAAATAGCCCAGAGTGTTTTACATATACACTCAAAAGGGATTTACTTTGTCCACCACTTGAGCGTGTAGATCACACTTCGGTTCCGTGCCTCATCTGAGGGACGTGACCCTCTAGTGCAGAATGTCTTCCCATTGGGGCATCGGTTTGAAAATTCTGGTCAAGAAAGACAAGCGCCACCTACTGGCCCACCAACTCCATTTGCATAAGAAGCCTGGTGATCCTTCCCAGTCTCCCATCCCAGTACTGACCAAGCTTGGCCATGCTTAGCTTCCGTGATTCTTAAGCAATCAGAAAACGGGGTGGTGATGCTCCAAGCATGTGAGAAGCCCCATATTTTTTCCTCAAAACGGTTAACATAACTAAACATTTGGGAAGAAAGTCACGGTGTTAATTTTGGGATGGAGAGTAGGTGCTAATATTCATCCAATGCGGGTTTCAGTTCACACTTTGGCAGCTCTCTATACCTGGCTAGTTAAGTCCTGGCCTACAGTGAAGACTTACCGAGAGGACTGGGATACCAGTTCACCACCACAGCAGCCTGGTTGTCACAGGGAAGCTGTGTGAATGTCACATTGCTTACAGGATGGATGGCGTGTTTCCCTATCGGGTTCCAGTTCAACGTGCAGTCTGGAATGGCAGAAGAAGAAAGGAGTTAATTAGTGTACACAATGATCCCATATAGGCCCCGATACCAATCTTTTTTCCCCAAGGGGTGTTAAAAAATTCCTATGCTTCCATGCTCCCTGAGTCTTTTCAAAGCTATGGGGCATCAATGGATGATCACTCATAGCTGTGAAAGGTAGGTATAGGTTTACAATGCCAAAGGGAAAGCCTAAAAGGTAATATATGAATTACTACACTGCATCACAGGTAGTTCAGGCTGTATGTCAGAAAAGTGGCATTCCCTTCAGAAATCTGACACAGGAACTCCAAAAATACAACTTGTCGACCAAATCCCACTGCGTTTTCAAACTTTTTTTTTCAAAAGTTTTGCTTTAGCATCCCATTAGGTGTAACGCAAATTTACATTCAGATAATGCTGAATGAAGGGATACAACTAGCAGAAGGCAAAAATAATAATCTGCCTAGGACACTAATGACAATGAATATTCACTTGCAAAGCTCTTTTTCCATCCGTCACCTTAATGAAGATCCACACAATCGAATCCAAATGTAATTGGATTTTTTTTTTCCAGACTATCTTGACCAGAATATTTATCAGATTTCAGTTAGTCCAGTGGAGACTCTTACTGAAAGTTTCAAATTTAGCACGTTTCTCAGGCTAAGCCTGGCTGATTCATCTGCAATCCATTTGTTAAGGTAATATGAGTAGTAGTAAAAAAAAAACAGAAGAATCCCTCTGCTTCATTCTAAATAAAAGCATTTGTTTTACTGAACACAGACTTACTGTCATTCCGGAACGTGACACCAGCTGTGCGACTATTGTCCTCCAAATTTGACAGCAGCCCCTAGAAATGAAGGAGATCCTCAATTTCCAGAAGCTAAACAGGAGCATAGAATTGCAGTGTAATAATGTAGCTCAGAATATACACATGAGAATAAAAGATGAACAAACCAGCATGATGTTTCTTGCAGGCGAAATGTAACCACTGAAGAACAATTGCAAAGTACATTACATTAGATGCATTTCAAAATAACCTTTCTAGTTACTTTAATGCTAATTCTTTCATCTTAGAGTGATGAAAGTGCTCAGTAGAAACCCTAAATGAGAGGTGGTGGGGTCAGGGAGAAAAACATCAACGTAGGGCTTATTCAACAGATCTTTCAACACAGTACAACTGTAATGTGCTTCCTGCTGAGGCAAAAACATAACACCTCCAACTACTACAGGAACTACTGATCATGGCAAAGAGATGTATACACAAAACAGAGCACAGAAAGGACAACAATGTCACAGCATATACAACAAAAATAAAAATCAGAGATCAAGTCAATGCTAAAAGGGGAGGTATGAGTTGTAGGGGTGTGGAACAATCTACCCAGCCATGTTGTTGAAGCCAATATCCAGGCTTCCTTCAAGAACTAGCTGAATGAGATTCTCAGCTCATTTAATTACTGACCACCAAACAGGCTAATGGCCTTTTCTTGTTTGTAACCCTTGTTATGTCAAGCATCTTTGGAAGCACTGATAATGAGGCCCTTCTCACAGAGAGGTAGGGGTGCCAAGCAAGACCTGCATAACATACAAGTATTAGAAGAGTCTGTGGAAGGGGGACAAAATCACTGTGGGAAACATTATGAAACCATCCAGCTCTTGCATAAGCTGACAAATTAGACACGGTACAAATTCCATGAAACTACGAGGACTGCCAAGCTTGGTGTAATAGCTAAGGTGACCTCTGGCAAAGACAGCTGCTGGGAGGAATTTTTTTCTCGGTTGGGTGGTGTGTGGGGGGACGAGTTAAACAACATATGTTTTATGGCGTCCGTCTGGTTTTGGGAGGTACCGAGATGGTACTGCTTTGTTTATTTCCTGCATCCGGTATCTAGTCTCAGAATTTTCGCTTAGAATGGGATATAATTGCTAATTTGTTATAGATACAAAAAAAACATTCAAAACATGCGTCACAAGATGAACAGAATGCTATTCAGGCCTCTTTTTTCCTATATCAAAATTCCCTTCCCATTTTTCTAATTCCAGAGAAACTCTCTATGGAACGGTTTCCATATTTGCTACGAAAAATATATACAACAAACCCATAATCTCTACACAACAAATCTATTCCTTTTTGCTTTAACAATGTCTTTTAGACAGTGAGGAGCAATATTAAACTCTACAGCAAATGATGTATTTTAAAACTACCACCGAAGTTTCTCATAGTTTCCAGATATCACCAAAAGTCCCATTTAAAAAAAAAATAGGGCTTCAAACAGGGCATGTATCTTTTTTATTTTTACCTTAGTACATGTTGCCTTACAAACACATTGAAATCTAGCTGTGGAAGTTCACCTCTACATCCCCTCGAGACTATCATTGACTAATGCCCCCCCCCCCAAACACCCCCCAACCCCCCAAAAGCCTGCCAGATGTGTGCATCTGCAATGAAGCAAAGAGAGCTAGACCACCATGCAGGAACAGAAAGACATTTTCCGTCTATGCAAACACAGACATGCTCATCATAAGCATTACACCGACTCCCTGAAGTAAACTTAATTTCCTCTTAGCTTTTCCGAAACTGAATTTCTGATACTTGTTCCTTCGGCAAAGAAAAACAAACAGAATGGTTTCCCAGTACTCCCCCTCTGAAAGTTTGTTTTGCAGAAGCATGGAAAAATACCCAAATGACCATTATAACATAGGGAGCACACCAAAATCACAACAAATTTATGGCATTTGTTGAAGTGATTTGAAAGTGGCTTTCAGGATTTTTTAACTCATAAGAAGAAATGTTTACTACCAGGCCGGGGGGGGGTGATTCCTAATTTAACCACAGAATGAAGTGTTACTTGAATGCCTGAGGTCTTTAATGGCCCTGCTCACAGTCTCTGGGCCTAAACTTTGTATTTACACAGCATGTCTCCTTTAGCCAGACCTGCTGGTAGCTGCAACAACCACCTCACAGCACCTGAGACCCATAACCAGGCCATAGACACGCCTCAGCCTCGTCTCTACATGGGCACACTGAGAGCTGGACTCAGTACCCGTTTATCAACCTGTCATGGAGCACAGCGATGCTTCAACATAAGCTTTCTAACACCACAACACCAATGCTGTTTGTTGAGTGTTTCTGTCCTACTGCAACTATTTTTATGAGCGTCTTGCTGCAGAAAAGACATTCTTAATTCGAACAAGACGATTCCCACTTAAACATAAACAAATGAGCCTATTAGAAGGTGAAAAGATATCACCTCAGGTGCATGTATCCAGATGGTGGTATTCTCTAGTGTTTGCGCTGGAGTAGGCTGAGAGCACAGGGAGAACGAGCCCACCAGCTGCTGCATATGGTCTTAAAAAATGAGTCGTGAAAGGGAATGGCGAGGTGAAATATGGCCAGAAAGCATGATTAAGTGAACGACCAACCTTAGAATATGCATGACTGCTAAGACAGTGAAGCTATTGTTAAAGACATCTAATTCAATCAACCCGCAGACGATAGAGCAAACAAAGCTGTTTCCACACAGTGCATCGGAGCACATTCAGACTGGCCTTAATTCCAAGTTTCTGATAATCAGTAACTGTCACAGTCCTGCTCAAGCCGAGATTTCCTGCTAGAACCATTTCTCTACCTTGGAAAAAACAGCTGCACAATGCAGTCCGCCTGAATTTTTATTACTGGGCACGGAAGCCAGGAAAGCTGCTGCCAGGCTGCGACTTCTGAACACATCTATAAAACTTCAAGCGGTAGGCTTATTTGCGCTTTGATTTTGACATTATGCTTCAGGGAAAAAAAACAATACAAAATGAGAGCAAAATAGGAAGTAGCCAATATCAGTGTTGCATAGGTGTCCCAATTAGGTTCAAAATTAGTCGCACCTTAGGATCAAACATCCAGTGAAGTTGGTTTTCAACACTCCTAAGTAAAGTCCTAAGTTCACAGCTGGTCTTTTTTGTGCCTGGGAGACAGACATTAGTATTTAGGTGGAATCTTGTGCAGCAAAGTAAAAACAGCAGCATGTCTCAACAGAGAACTGCAGCAGGTGGAGAGTTCTGATATTTAATAGGCACAGAGTAGAGACCAAGGCAGATCCCTCCTGACCAGGTGTTCCACCTATTTGCAGAATAATAATAATTAAATCCTCTCAAAGACATTCCGCAGTTTCTCAGAAGGCAGAAGATAGGGTGCTTGTGGCTCAGTCTGACTTGTGTTCAAAAGGCCTAAAATCCATAACAGTTCCAAACAAGTAATGAAAACAGTGAGTTTCAACTGATTGGAACTCTGCTTTTTCGCTCACAGAATGCTAAAAGAAGGCCAGAAAGTACAGCAACCCAGAGGAAAACAAACTACGGCATGGCGGCGATCCCAGGTAGACACAGATGGGAAGAAATACTTCAGCGCCAAGCCGAGCCAGTTGCTCCTGAATCCAGAACATTGGAAACATATCAAAAAATGGAAAAAAGTGGAACAGGATGCAAGATGGAATTGCCAGGCCTTAGTGTGAGGTGTTGAAAGCATTTTTTCTTTGGTGTCGATGAAGGTATATTAGAAAGGTATCTACTAATCATGTCCCTACCTGAACGAATGAAACCAGGGAGAAAATGTTTAAAACGCTCAGAGGGAAGGATATCTAACAGACACATAATGGATGTCTGAGAATCTGGACTGCAGCAAGGCTGCTGTACTTTGTGCATTTTAAGCATCATTAAGTATCCAATTGATGTTGCGTGCAAAGGAAATGTTTCATTTCCCAAGACAACAGGGCTCATGCTATTTGACATATTCTTTTAGTTATCTGGAATGCACTTCGTAGAATTGATCCAAATTTAAATGTGAAAAAGATAACTCACAATACAACTTTCTCATCAATCAAATGTTCCTTGTTGGGCATACTTCCTAAGTCACCACGGTTTCTCGACCAGGTGCCGTCGCAAAAGAAAGCGAGGGGCAAGCTATGTATGTTCAACACTACAAATCTCAGGCTTGCTTCATAAAATGTAACACGAGGCCCCAGATTATGTTATTAAAAAAACAGGCATTGCCCCATGTGATAAGAATTCTTCCCATTTCAGGATAGGTTACCTAGTATATTGCATCCATAAATGTTTACCTAGTTCAAAAGAAAGAAGAAGTCTAGAACACTCTTCAAATCATATCTACAGTGTGTGGTCATAAGAGCTTGTATAAATACTAATGAATTACATTTGTGTTTATTACTCTGAAATAACAGGTGAGATCCACAGTTGCTCAAACAGCAAAGGTGTTTGCTTGGATCTTGGGTCGGACTTGTAATCCAGGTATTACTAGCTTGTAACTGGATCGTGCCAACAGCCAACACGGGATTCCCCAAGCAGGTGGAGCACAGCTTGCTGCGTGCCACCGGGACGGAGATGGAATTGCTTCACCAGGGATATATTTTGGGTTTTGAGCAAACACTCACACCTTCTTGGACACCTGGAAGCTGGCGGTGACATCAGTGACAGATGTGCTACGCTACGCCTTGAAGTGATGACACATCTCCTTTCCGGAGCTGGCGGAGTCTGAAGTGGGTCAAAAAGATAAACGCATTGATAAGACAGGTGGGTCCTGCCCATCGCCATTTACCGATCACTAATTGATTTCACGGGCATGCTCATCCAAAGCGACATACGTATGCACCCAGTTCCGCAGCTGGGTGTTTTACTGGAACAAGGTGACGTGCATTGCTCAAGGGTATGACAGCGGTGTCTCACCAAGGATCTGAACCTGCAGCCCCGCAGTTGCAACGACCCTCACTTCTGCTGAAAAAGAGCGGATGTTAAGCTTACCACTCGACAAGGATGAGATTTAAATGTACGCGCGCAGAGCACAAT